CTTGTCCCAATTGAAAGTAATCATTATTGATATAGGTTCCTCGAGAATACAGTTTGCTCTTAACTCTTACGACGAATTAACGAATGGTGTAGTCTGTCTAATATTCGTTTAGCAGTTGTGAAATAATCAGTTTAAATCTAGTCCRGGAAATAAAATCGTCATAACGACGTCTTAGACTAATAACTTCGAATTCAAAACGAATTGCTATAATTTTGATAATAATCTTCGACAAACTTTCATGCTTTCAAACTTTCCATTAGAGTTACCCGCTGTGCCGTCTGCAAATCTAACCATGTCATTAACATTTCAAAGCGAGACGTAAAGCGAGCGAGTAATAGGAGCCTTCTTTCACTCCTAAAGACAATTATTCGCAAGTATCTCTCACTGCAACCAGTCAACGGTCTTCTCACTTCGATGCAAATGTATGACTACCTCTCAAAAGTACTTTGGGAACGATTAATGGAGACGATTGCAATTTGCCAGGATAATGTTGGCATGATTCATATTTGGTTAACTTCGCGTTCATTAGTTTACTTGCTTTTATAATGAAATCTTTCCTTCTTGTGTTATATTTATTTGGCAAGGTATGGCACCATTTATTCCTGCCAAAACAAAAACGCTATGCGTCGTGTCGAATTTTTCAATTTTGCGCCTTCTAGCAGTTACGTTTAAGAGTCCACATTTGGGTGGCGAATCTATACACAGACGAGCCTGTATATTTATTTTTTTACTTATTTTATTTGCTTAAGTTCTTGATGTGCATCTCACTAATCTTATCATGCATTAATTGTCGTATTTACTACATTTTTACTCTATTTTTGTATAATAATAACGTTCAATTGTGTTATTACATCAAGAAATGCAGTATACATGTATACATCATCTTGTAAAGTAATCAAATGGCCAAAAATAAGAACTATATATTTATGTAGATTTTGTAATAATGATAATAAGCACAGACACTAAAGAGGCTTTACCAGGCCCTCTTAAGTGACTTACTATCTCAATAAATGTAATATATTGAACCTGGTTAAAGCTAGCTTTCATAATTATGCAATGATTATGACTGTCTCTGGTTCAGTCACAGTGTTTAGAGTCTAATATTATTTTAAGCAAATCGTTCATCATCATTGGATTCTTAACGAGTTAAGAATAAATGATAAAGATTTCAGTTCACAAGATTATCTTCTAACAAGAGCATACAGGTTATGAAGTACAATTCTCGACTGCATGCTGACGACATGCTTTATGGCTTGTACCAATGTTCTAAAAATATTACCAAAATTGTGGCAAAAGACTTACTACTTACTGCAATTATCATTCCTCTTCACATTTCAGACGTTTCCAGATTTCTATAAGCTCGCTCACTCGTTCAAGGGAAAGCCATCCCTTTAAGATTCCATCTTTTTCTAAAACTTTAGCAAAATCAAGAAGCGAAGACTCGCTTATTCTTGGATGGGCTTCGATATTTCTCGAATCTTGTAGTGATTTTATAGCTTCCTCTAATTCCTCACTCCAGTTTAACTTGGATTTTAAGACTTTCCATCGTTCTTTTGCGGCGTTTCTTTCTTCGTCTGTTTGAGCAAGTTTCTTTACATCTTTGTCGATATTCTTCACTTTGTAGCTACGCACGGGAACATAGTGCTTTGGCAAGACCTTTTTGTACATTTTTCCCTGAATTTGCCAACATAATTCTCCAAAATGCAACAAAGCCATACTCTGAAATGTCGGTGGAAGAGGAACTCGTGGTGGTTCAAGCATTGGCATAACTTGGGTTTCTTTGAGCTGCTTCACTTCTTTCTTAAGCTTTTCATTCTCTGTTGTCAATTTTGTCTCTGTAGTCTTCAGGCTGTACTCAACTCTTTGTAAATCCTCTTTAAGCTTTTTGTTCTCTTCTTCGTGTGACCTTGAAGACTTGTTTAGTGTTTTTACTTCGTTTTCTAGCCTTTTCAGTTTAGTCTCAACTCGTGACAACTCATCTTGTAGGTCCTTCTTCTCATCTTCGAGCGTTTGGATTCTCTGCTTTAGTTGTTCGACCTCCCTGTCTTTTGTGTTCAGTTTGATTTGAAGATCGTTGTTTTTCTCATTGACTTCTTTCAGCTTCTGTTGAAGGTCTTCTATTTCTTTGTCCTTTTCTTGTAGACTTCGCTTCAATTGCTTGATCTCAATTTCGTGTTTGGAAGCCAAACGCACATCTCTGTCGTGCATCAATACTTGATGACTCAGGGCTATTCCACTAATTCCCAAAGGTAGTATACTTTCCTGATCGATTGTTTGGTTCTTTCCGAAAATCTGATTGTCTTGATGGTCCATTTCTGTCTTTGTTGTGAGAATTAGGTTAGTTAGTTTCGGAGACCAGAGTCACATATCATCAAGCGTTGCTTTCTCCTTTCGTTATCAACAGTTCGGCGAAGTAACGTAGTGTGGCTCTTTTCATATTATGAACTCTCATTGGCCAGAATGAGTCACGTGTGATAAAGATTCCACGTTTGTTCCGGGAAATCGAGTTAGGAGAATATTCTACAAAGACTTATTTTTTATTGACGTGACAGGAAATTGCTATTGAGAAAAAACAACAACAACCAAAAAACATAATCTTATTTCTGAGACGAAAAATAATTAATGAAAATACATGTGTAGCCATGCCTTGGATGTGAAATATAGTATAAAAGTTAAGACTTCTGAAGGCACAATTTTAATGTGGTATTTTATTTCATACGTTTCGCCTTTGACGGCTTCATCAGTGAATTGCATATTAAAGTAGTTTTGCAAGGGCAGTTATTTCCACAGAGCCTCATCTGCAATTTGTTTTGTAAATGTTTACACACACAAAAAAAAAGTCCGGACTATTACAGTTATTTTCCAATAATTTCGTAAGACAAAGAGCCTTTTTGAACCGTTGATTTGAGATCCTATCGCTTCGGCTCTCAAAGCTGATTCATCGACAAAGAAATCTTTGAAGTCAAAGTACAGTGAACATAGTCAAGTGTACAGATAAATTACACATTACAGAGACGTAATAGCAAACTATAGTATAAGATTATAGAAATATAAATATATGTCAATTTCTATGGAGTGCATTCCTTATGTTTTCAAATCTTGTCAGATGGACTTTGCTGATATAAAGGGAGAAAACAAGAAAATGTCGTCATTACAATAGCCTTGAAAATTCAGACGATATTACAATAGATTGAAAACATCGTTTGCGGTTGCATCAAGGGGAACCCTATCATCGACAGGTGATGCGCACGATTGGAGTTAATACAGCATTCAACAATTCGTGGAAATGTCCTATGTAGGCATTGAAATGATTACAATTCCGAGGAAAGAAAACATCGTTTAGGAAACCCAAATTTTGGATTAAGAAACGAGTCTGAAGAGCGAATACAATATTTCGACTTTAATTCAAAGTCATAGTCATGTAGTGGTGTTAATATTTACAAGTGCAGAAATTTAT